GATGATCAGAAATGATGTAGAATTTTCTGTAAAGCATATAGGGTTATTTGAAAAGTGTTTTTCAAGTGAAAACCTGGATTAAGCTACTTGAACATTGAGCATCAAGATCTATGAGGATAGATCAAAACCGCTTAATGGTACTTTCAAATGAGCATATACCTTGACATGATCTTGAAGGTGTTCAAGATGGATCAGTCAAAGAAGGAGTTCTTGCCTAAAATGTAAGGTATGAAGTTAAGACTTAAAGCTCGACCACGGCAGAAAAGAGAGAAAGGACGAAGGTCGTCCCCTATGCTTTAGACGTAGGCTCTATAGTATGCTATGTTGTGTACTGCACCGGAAGTGTGCCCTGCCATGAGTCAGTCAAGGGGTACAAGAATGATCCAGGAATGGATCATTGGACAGCGGTCAAAATTGTCCTTGGAGTAAATAAGGACATGTTTCTCGATTATGGAGGTGATGAAGAGTTCGGCGTAAAGGGTTACGTCGATGCAAGCTTTAACACCTATCCGAATGACTCTGAGTAGCAAACCGGATACGTATACTGGAGCAACCATTTGGAATAGCTCCAAGTGGAGCGTGGAAGCAGCATTTACAATATGACCTAGAGATTTGCGAAGTACATACGGATCTGAATGTTGCAGACCCGTTGACTAAAACCTCTCTCACAAGCAAAACATGATCAAACCCCAGAACTCATTGAGTCTTAATCACATGATGATGTGAACTAGTTTAGTGACCCTAGTAAACTCTTTGGATGTTAGTCACATGGCGATGTGACCTGTGAATGGTAATCACATGGCGATGTGAGCTAGATTATTGACTCTAGTGCAAGTGGGAGACTGTTGGAAATATGCCCTAGAGGCAATAATAAATTAGTTATTATTATATTTCCTTGTTCATGATAATCATTTATTACCCATGCTATAATTGTATTGATAGGAAACTCAGATACATGTGTGGGTACATAAACAACACTATGTCCCTAGTAAGCCTCTAGTTGACTAGCTCGTTGATCAACAGATGGTTACGGTTTCCTGACCATGGACATTGGATGTCATCGATAACGGGATCACATCATTTGGAGAATGATGTGATGTACAAGACCCAATCCTAAGCCTAGCACAAAGATCGTGTAGTTCGTATGCTAAAGCTTTTCTAATGTCAAGTATCTTTTCCTTAGACCATGAGATTGTGCAACTCCCGGATACCGTAGGAATGCTTTGGGTGTACCAAACGTCACAACGTAACTGGGTGGCTATAAAGGTGCACTACAGGTATCTCCGAAAGTGTCTGTTGGGTTGGCACGAATCGAGACTGGGATTTGTCACTCCGTGTAAACGGAGAGGTATCTCTGGGCCCACTCGATAGGACATCATCATAATGTGCACAATGTGACCAAGGGGTTGATCACGGGATGATTTGTTACGGAACGAGTAAAGAGACTTGCCGGTAACGAGATTGAACAAGGTATCGGCATACCGACGATCGAATCTCGGGCAAGTACAATACCGCTGGACAAAGGGAATTGTATACGGGATTGATTGAGTCCTTGACATCGTGGTTCATCCGATGAGATCATCGTGGAACATGTGGGAGCCAACATGGGTATCTAGATCCCGCTGTTGGTTATTGACCGGAGAACGTCTCGGTCATGTCTACATGATTCCCGAACCCGTAGGGTCTACACACTTAAGGTTCGATGACGCTAGGGTTATAAAGGAAGTTTGTATGTGATTACCGATTATTGTTCGGAGTCCCGGATGAGATCCCAGACGTCACGAGGAGTTCCGGAATGGTCCGGAGGTAAAGATTTATATATGGGAAGTCCTGTTTTGGTCACCGGAAAAGTTTCGGGTTTTATCGGTAACGTACCGGGACCACCGGGAGGGTCCCGGGTGTCCACCAAGTGGGGCCACCGGCCCCGGAGGGCTGCATGGGCCATGTGTGGGAGGGGACCAGCCCCAGGTGGGCTGGTGCGGCCCCCCACAAGGGCCCAAGGCGCCTAGGGTTTGGGGAGGGGGTGCTTCCACCTTGCTTGGGGGGCAAGTTTCCCCCTCTCCACCCCTTGGCCGCCCCCCTAGATGGGATCTAGGGCTGGCCGCCGCCCCCTAGGGGTGGAAACCTAGGTGGGGGCGCAGCCCCCTCTCCCCCTATATATAGTGGAGGCATAGGAGCAGCCCAAGACATGAGTTTCTTCTCCTGTTGGCACAGCCCTACCTCTCTTTCTTCTCATATCTCGCGGTGCTTGGCGAAGCCCTGCTGGACTACTACGCTCCTCCATCACCACCACGCCGTTGTGCTGCTGCTGGATGGAGTCTTCCTCAACCTCTCCCTCTCTCCTTGCTGGATCAAGGCGTGGGAGACGTCACCGGGCTGCACGTGTGTTGAACGCGGAGGTGCCGTCCGTTCGGCACTAGGATCTCCGGTGATTTGGATCACGACGAGTACGACTCCTTCAACCCTGTTCTCTTGAACGCTTCCGCTTAGCGATCTACAAGGGTATGTAGATGCACTCTCCTTCCCCTCGTTGCTGGTTTCTCCATAGATAGATCTTGGTGACACGTAGGAAAATTTTGAATTTCTGCTACGTTCCCCAACATAATCATCTTCGTCACCTTGCCATCGATAGCCATCCATGAAATCACGCAAGAGTAGGTGGTCCCGCACCTGTACGGAATCCGGGTCCATAAGGCTCCTCAGCTTGCATCTTCGACACGGACATCTTATCTCCGTCTCGTTCTTTTAAAGCATCTCGGCCTTCGCGGAGCTCAAAAACCTATTCACGATGCCTTCGGTCATCATGCGGACCATGGTCGCCTGCGGGGTAGAGCAAAACGATATTTTAGAACCAAGAAAAAATTTGGCATGACTTTGCCTAAAAATAGGACCAAAAAGAATGCATAGTGCCAAAATTCTCGCCGAAATGGAAATGAATCAACATTCCGACAAAATATTGGCAACTATCGCATTTCAAATACCGGTACCTACAAACACAAACATATATGCAACACTACAAATATATGCAACACCATAAACATACATAGATCTAGCTAGGCCATAAAAAGTGCATATGCACGTTGTTGGAGGAAGAAAAAAAGTAGATCTACAACATAAAGATAGCTTTCCCCTTACTTACCTATCAAAAAAAGGTAATTTAACCACTTAATTTGGATGAATCTATGATGCAAATGAGGTAAGGAGGAGGAGGCAGCCGAGACAAGCTTGGAGGAGGAGGTGGAGAGAATGAAGTGGGGAAAGTGAGTGTGTAGGTGTGGCTGTCCAAAATATCTAGCTGGTCCCAGGTTACTAATGGCACATTAGCTGATGGTGCGCCATTAATAGTTTTGCAAAAAAAAATTATAGTAGTGGCACACTATGTGGCTGGTGCGTCATTACTAGTTAAAACTAGTAATGACGCACTGTGCCCTGGTGCGCCATTAGCATTTTTGGGAAAAAAAATTGTTACTAGTGGCGCACCGTGTGTCTCACACTAATGGCGCACCGACACATGATGCGCCACTGCTATATAGTAGTGGCGCACCACATGTCTGGTGCACCATTAATGGCCATATCATCTATAGCCGTTTTCCTAGTAGTGGATATTGTCTCGGGGTGGAGTGGGGCTGCTGCAACATCAGGGGTGCACGCAGGTACTGCACCCCACCGTAGCCTAGTGTGGCGTAGTGGAGCGGCGCGTAGGTAGTGTAGGCGTGCGATGGACGCGACCTGAGGATCCTTGGCACCGGAGGCGGGCATGGCGGAGGAGGGAGCGCAACGAGGTAGGCGTTGACGTGCCCAGTCCATGGATTCAGCTAGTTGGCTAGGCGATGGAGAATCAGGGCTTGCCACTGCTGGTGTCCGCACCAGGCGGCTTGGTGTTGCTACCCGAAGCGCCACCAGAGGTCGACAGGCTGGGAGCAGGATGTCGGGTGTGGGCGGCGAGGGCGCTGTGGGATTTGGAGAAGTCATTGCTGGAGGCCATCTCGTCCTGCACGAACATGCCCACAACGACGTCAAACGCCAAGGGGTGGGCGTCTTCTCAATGATCTTCGTCATCATCTCATCCAACGATTTGCCGAAGTTTTGCAGCTCATCCGCGAAGGACTTAGTCAGAAGCGGAAGGTGGAGATGGAAGAGTCGCCTTGGCAGATCCCATGGAGCTCGAACTTTAGGTAGAATTGTCGAGAGCGGCGATGGTTGAGGAACAAGGCCTCAATCGCCGACCAGATCTCAAAGGCAGTGGCCTCTCGATTGATGACGGAGCCGACGAGGGTCTCGTAGAACCATTTTTTAACCGCCTTGTTGATGATCTTTCCATGCCGTGTCACCGGCGTGATCATTGAAGTCGGGACAGATGTGGCCGGTGACGTCGCACTGATTGATTGTCTCCAACATGAGGTCACGCCAGACCTTGGCCCCTTTCATGTCCACATGAACACGCACATGATTGTGAATGTTGGCTCCCTCGACACGGATGGCATTGGCGAGGGCTGGGAAGGCAAGAAACTCGGGACCCGTGGCGCGGTCTGGAGGGGAAGAGGAGTGGTGACCACCGCCAAGGGTGGGGAGGCCGGGGAAGAGAGGAGGTGGGAAGAGGCGCAGAGGCCATGAGGAAGGAGGGAGCGGATCAAAAAACTGATACCATGATAGGAAATTAGTATGAGTAGAGATGCATCATGCTTGGCTTCCTTTTCTTGGGAATTAAGTAGAGGATACATCAAAGAGAGAGGAGGACTCACGCACACAACAACCTAACCACCAATCCTATCTCTACTGAGTGTGGCGGTGTAGTGCATGGCGCATGCATAGGAGATAAGGCCGTGACCGGTTCATCTCCTTGAGAATAGCTCAAGCCAACTAGTCTAACAACTTCCACATCAAGCGATGCATTCCCCAGTCCCCATCGCGCCGGAAACCCAGCCAGTGGCGGCGGCTCTGCTTCTCACCCACCCAAATCGCTGCAATCTCTCCCTGCCGTGACACGCGAGCTGGCGGCCATGAATCCGAAGGAGCTCTTCGAGCTCTTCCTCGGAAAGGTTAGATGGAGGAGGCGCCTCCGATTCCTCCTCCGTCGTCATGCAAGGGACTAATCTTCTCCCGCTGATGTGATGCAGGAGCGTGGGGAGGCGATTCAGGATCTGGAGATCTCCCAGCGGGCCAAGGTTTCGCTCCTGTTTTCACTTGTTGCTGTTGCTGCTACTGGAGTGGTGCTGGACTGGTGGTCTCTTGCTTCCCTTTGCAGGGTCCGCTCACACAGGCGGAGGACGCCACGCTGCGGAAATTCAGCACCGCCGCGGACGTGGCCTACGCCGCGGCCTCTACGCTCTTCACTCTTCCTATCTGTTTTACCATAAATCAAGGTGCCTCGACCTCCATCTATAATCATGAGATGCGAATTGCCTTTCAATCTCGATGTTTGTGAGCTACTCCCTCTGTTCCAAAATAGATGATCCAACTTTGTACTAACTTGAGTACAAAGTTGAGTCATCTATTTTGAAACGGAGGGAGTACAACACTAAATGAAATCCTATTTTATTCGACCCAGTGGTCCGAGTTATATGTTCCAGCAAAGATGTAAGTTAAGAGATCTGTCAAATTAGATAAAGAATGTAAAAAAGTACTAGTTGTTAGGTTGGTATGTTATTCAGAAGTACACCTATTATTCAGATTGGAAATGTAAGGCGAATTTACTAGTAAGGCTAATCATAGTGGAAAGTAACTTAGAGTAGTGTCATGCATATGACATTAGTCTATATTACTACCTTTATAATGGAAAACAACATAGAGGTAATATCCTACTCCCTCTGTCTGGGTTTATTAGGCTAAAGACAACTTCTCTTGGCCCAAGACACATAGTAATTTGCTCATATTAATTATTTCATTTCATTTCCAATGCACTCTCTCACATCCATGCAGCCAATGAAAGCTGGTCACAATGGGGAGGAACTTAGGAGTAACATCACACACTCCAATACAACTTTGCTTATGTGGCACATATTTAATGAAGAGAGAGGTGCTTGTGGTAACTAGCTAAGTTACCGGAACATCACACACTCCAAGAAACAATGAGTCTATAACCTAATAAATACATCGTTGCATGACACTACGGGGGTGTTTGGTTCAGGGACTTTTTAGTCCCAGAGACTAGAAAAAATCCCTAAAAAGTCCCTAGGAACCAAACAGGAGGGACTTTTTCTACAGGGACTAGAAAAAGACTCTACTGGAGAGTCTTTTTTTATTAGTCCCTGGGACTAGAAAAAGTCCTAGGACCTCTGAACCAAACACCCCCTACATAGATGTTCCTACCCACTATGGAGGTAGTAACATAGTCTAGGGAAGTGTGTAAGTTACTAGCTTATGTTCTTGCCCATTGTGACCAGCCGAAAAAGCACGCATGCAGTGTATTAATTTCATGGCCATGGCATCAACAACAATGGTTTTCAATGCAACCAATAAAGTGGTTGCATGCATGCACCTTTCCAAAGCAAGGCCTTATAAAAAGGGACATGCTTGTGATGTTGTGAGGCTTAATAAACTCGGACGGAGGGAGTAGGTAGTTGTATTTATTGGCATGTAGACTCATATTGCATTGGGAAACGTTATGTGATGGTAATATAGGAGCAAGTACAATAGAGCTGAGTCAGCTGGCTATAAAAAATAAACTAGTATATTCTTGCTTAGTTGGAGGAAAGAGAAGAGGAGAGAGAAGATAAGCGGGCTCTTGGTGAAGAGCCAGCTCTAGCACGTGCTCCTAGACACTTTGTGAGAGTGAAAGGTGGGCCATATAATAAAAAAGTAATACACTCTTCTAATCAACTATTGTACATATTGGCTATAAGATGGGCTATAGATGACATGGCAATGGCTTATAGCCAGCAGTTGGCTATACTATTAACCATGCTCTAAGAGCAAGTACAATAGAGCTGAGTCAGCGGGCTATAAGGATTAAACTACTATATTTTTACTTAGTTGGAGGAAAGAGAAGAGGAGAGAGAAGGTAAGCGGGCTCTTCGTGAAGAGTCAGCTCTAGCACATGCTCCTAGACACTTTGTGAGAATGAAAGGTGGGCCACATAATAAAAAATTAGTACACTCTTTTGATCTACTATTGTACATGTTGGCTATAAGATGGGCCGTAGATGACATGGCACTGGCTTATAGCCAGCAGCTGGCTATACTATTAACCATACTCTAAGGCTAGTTCCAATGCATTGGTGCTTACATGAGGTGCTAAGCACATTAAAAACTTTAGCAACTAAAGCCCCCAATGCATAGGTGCTTAATTTGTTGGTGCTAAGCATCCTTCATTTAATGATTTTGCAACTAAAGTTCTTCATGCATTGGTGGGATCCTTCCAATTAAAGTGTTTTGCCTAGGTTCTCGTGCTTGGCATTGTTTCTTCCTGGGGTCACCATACTCATCTCTCTCCTCTTAATTACGTTGCCACATCAGACTTTTTGCCTACATGGCAGCCTTAGCACGTGTACAAGGTGGAGCACTGGGAGGGGCCTAATATGTTACTCTAAATACATCTCTCCTCATTAACTAGCTGCCACATAAGCAAACTTTTCTTGGGATGTGTTATGTTACTAGCTAAGTTACTCACACTATGACTAGCCTAAGAAGGTGCTTGGATCCAAGGGACTTAGAGGGTGCTTGGATACGTTTTAATCCCATAACTAAAAGTAGTGGGACTAAAACTTGCTAGCCTTACCCATGCTTGGATCTAAATACTAAAGAGACTAAAATCAAGTTAATGAGCATTTATTATCCTTCAAACCCTCCAATCTAGAACTCGCCTGTGTTAAAGGAGAGGAGTTTTTTTTTTGAACATAAAAGGAGAGGAGTTAAATAAGGAGAGAGAGGACTAATCCACATTTTAGTAGGGGTACCCCTGACTAAAAAAATTTAGTCTCAAGACTAGTTTTAGCCCCTCTTTAATCAGGGGTGCTTGGAATTGTAGCCTCTTAAAGAGACTATTTTTAGTCAGACTAAAATAAGTCCCTTGGATCCAAGCACCCTCTTATTTTAGTCTGACTAAAAATAGTCTTTTTAAGAGGCTAAAGTTCCAAACACCCCTGACTAAAGAGGGGCTAAAACTAGTCTTGAGACTAAATTTTTTTAGTCAGGGGTACCCCTACTAAAATGTGGAGTGGTCCTCTCTCTCCTCGTTTAATTCCTCTCCTTTAACACAGGCGAGTTCTGGATTGGAGGGTTTGGAGGATAATAAATGCTCATTGACTTGATCTTAGTCTCTTTAGTATTTTGGTCCAAGCATGGGTGAGGCTAGCAAGTTTTAGTCCCACTACTTTTAGTCATGGGACTAAATCGTATCCAAGCACCCTCTAAGACTAGTCATAATGAGGAGTAACTTAGAGTAGTAACATGCATATGTTACTACCTCCATAGTGGGTAGTAACATATCTGTTGTGTCATGCATCACTCTATTTATTAGGATGTAGACTCTTCTTTTTTTGATATGTGTGATGTTACAGTAACTAGCTATGTTACCGCATGCTCTCTTTCATCATTAATTACATGCCACATCATCTATTTTGCCTAAATAAGTGTAATGTTACCACTTACTCCCTCCGTTCTTAAATATTTGTCTTTCTAGAAATTTCAATAAGTGACTACATACGAAGCAAAATGAGTGAATGTACACTCTAAAACATGTCTATATACATCTGTATGTGGTAGTCCATTTAAAACTCTAAAAAGACAAATATTTAGGAACGGAGGGAGTAGTATGTTACTCCCACTGTGGGTAGTCTAACCCATATGGAATATGGGTATTCATAATGACGGGTATCAACGTTGGAAACCTGCAAAGCTAATCATTGTTGAATTTGTTGCTAGATGCTTACTTATACTCTTTTATGCAGCACATAAATTGGTTGCTCTTCCACCTCCGCATAGATTACTGATGTTGGGATACTCTGCTGGTAAATCTCGTGCCTTCTTAACCAGTTTCTGTCTTGCTGAAATCTCTAAATATGAAGAGAATATTTTAATTTAATTTGGAATCGGGCAGATTGGCTACTCCCAAGAATAAATCCATTCATGCACATTTTGTTCATATAAATCCTGTTGTTACTACCTATAAGGATTTAGGCTTGAAAAGTATCAAATCACATTGTTAGATACACTCGCAAGTAGATGGGCTTTCAAATTTTGGATTTGATTTACATCTGCTACTTTGTCCCTCCCTAGTTTGTCAAAAGGAAAACGGATTCAGGGGCATGAAGTAAGGACAGAAACTTTAGAAACGACATCCCTCTTTTTCACTATAAGTGCTAATTTTATGAACCAATGTGTTACCAGGTGGTGCTTGCGTGATCGGGAAGTTGGCATATTATCAGTGCCTTTATGGATGTGCTATAGATATTTTGAAAAATGGTGAAGAACGCATGAAGATGGAGCTAGCTAACATGTGTGGATCATTAACTAATGGCGCTTTATTTACTTTCATTGCCAGACAAAGATACTTTATATTAATAATTTGTTTCATTTACAAAATACTTACTAAGCATAGCAATGAAAAAAAACTTGTTAAAGCTGTTAAAAAGCACTTCATAGCTGAGCATCTGTTCAGTGATCACCATCAAGATGGTCCACTTTTCAGCTGGCGCCAACGCCATTCATATGTGGACAACAGTTTTGTGGAAAGGGAGAAGGAGACTGAAGCAAATAACTCTACCGGGGCCAGATCAATTTCTGGACAGACAATTGTAGACACTGTGAGTTACGACCAAGTAATTTTGCAGTTTGTTAGATCCAATGAATCCACATCGTTAACCTATGAAACAAAAATGTAGAACTTTCTCCTCCCCTCAATTTACTAAATAGCTAAAAAAACAATATTGACCTAATTTTATGTTTGTTGCAGATTGAAAAGGATCCATTGGCTTGTATTGGCTCTCCAGACATCAACAAGCTGTCGGTGGACAAAAGCACCATTCTGACGAGACAACAGCTGCAAGCCCACAGAAGTTAATTGCCGGCATCGTCCTAGGCATGCTGAGAAAACTATGCTATAAATTCTTAAGGATCAGAAGAAGCGGCATTTTATATGGCGACTTGAACTTGATTTCTGCTCTTATATTCCATAGGTTCCCGTGTTCTTATAGTCATTGGCAAATGGGCACTAGAAGTCTTATTTGCCTAATGTGTCTCCTTGGTTGTTGGACCTTCCTGAATTGTATATGCAAGTACCACAATGTACTTGTAGACATGCTTAATGCATTCTCTTTTCGTAATGCATTCTCTTGAATTTAGTAAGTATCCTAAATTTAACATAGAGGCTTATATTCCTAGAAAACTCCAAGATGCTTGGGAACCAATTATTAAAATTTGCATAGGTCCGTACTATTGCAATGTTTTATGTGAATTGGGTGCTAGTATTTCTACTATGCCTAAAATACTTTTTTATATGCTTGATCTTGGAAATATGGAACCTAGCAATTTGACCATTAACCTTGTCGATTCATCTAGTAAGAAAGCTCTAGGAAGAAAAGATGATGCTAAGGTTGAAGTGCAACTGAATATTATTCCCACTGATTTTATTATGAAGTGTGATTTTACTTGACCTATTATTTTGGGTAGACCTTTTCTAAGAACTGCAGTGCCACGCTTTTCTCCCCTAACCTAGGCGGTTAGGATAAACTCTCCCCTCTAGACTTCAATGGCGAGCCCATGGACTCGCCTCCCCTCTGCCAGTCGCTCTGTCGATCGATGGCGGGAGGGGAATTTCGGTGCCTCCGTTGTGGTTAGTAGTTTAGGTCGGGTTTTCTAGTCCTCGCAGGCGCGGCGCTCACGAAGATGGCGACGCTTCTTCTTTGAGTTTGTCTTCCAGCCTTCGATCTTCCTCGAGTTCGTCCGTCTGGACGTAGTCGACGGAGCTCTGGCGTAGATTCCAGCTGTCTATTTGGCCGTGGTGTTAGGGTTTCTCGTTATATGGTGAGATTTGGTGTTATGTGCTTCAAATATATGCAAGGATTCAACGGTGACGACTGCGGCTCCAGGGCACTGGTCCTAAAGGGGCATGTGCACACAAGGTCAAGCCTTCTGGTAGGGGAGCGGCGACAGCGCAGTAGTGGTCGTTTGATGGTCTTGGAACATGGATGTAATTTTTATTATGTTTGAGATGCTATATACTTCCGATGAACTTTTATAATAGATCTGATCATTTTCGCACACACAAAAAACAGCAGGCCCAATTCACATGAAGGAAGGCACTTACAAATTCAAGTTGCCACAGAATCAAGCTTATGGCCACTTCCCTAAAGAGGAGTTCAAGCGTACAAGTGGGAAAGGTCAATTTAGGTGACCTTTCATAAGCTTTGAACAATGGATAGAGGTTACAAAGCCTTGATTTAGGCTTTAAACAAAAGCACTTGTAATACAGTTTATCTTTGTGCAGTTTACTTTTAGTACAATAAGACGCCATGCTTAGTCTTCATTATGGTTTTAGGGGAATTTTCTGAAATTGACTAGGTATAATTTCATATCTTGTCGGTTCAGAACGGCCCGCCCAGCCTGGGCACACCAAGCCCTGGTTGCTCCCCTGGGTGTCATTCTTTTTGCATTGTGTTCTATTTAGCACCCTATTACTGTCCTGATTTTTTATATCTACTTCTGGCAATAATTTTCTGCGTGAACAATTATTTCAATTTCTAGTGCTTCAAGCTTAATGTTTTGATTGAATTTTCATATGAGATAAATTGTCGTTTCCCATGATTAACTTGTCAAGCCCTTTTTAGTACTGGTGGATGGTGGTACATTGTTGCTGTTGTTACAGCAAACAACCAACATATCAAAATCCTAAGAACACAGGGTGTGCCACTGGAACGTTCGCTTAGCTTCGGCGAAGAAGGGCCACTTTTAGCCGCTACAATTCTGATGCTAGACGCTATGGGGTCAAAATGCCTGGAATTGCGGTGCTAGACAGATGGGTTAGCGGTTCGTCTTCGGGGCTTGATGTTTGTCGTCAGTCATCATATACTTCTTCCTCCTCGGGTTGTGACGACGACTGCCCGAAAGCTAGCATGGCCATATGCCTGGTTCCTTCTGGTATCATGGCTCGGACTACCTGCAAGTGTACCAAGCGTAGTTGTAAATGGCTCGGAAAATGGTGTGACGCTAGTACTTAGAACACGATAAGGCCAAATGTTCATTAGATAATTTCTTTTTTTTCATGAAGTACTTTTTTTTGTTTAAATGGCTAATCAATAGCAGGCGTGTCCAAATGTCTGAGTCACATGGTGACGGCTTCGACTTATGATGTGTATATGACTTGGGAGCAGGTAAATAATACGGTATGAAATGTTTCAGATCAGATAGTGGTGAGGTAAATACTCGCAGATGTTCTAGCAGACTAATGTCTAAACAGCCCAGGTGTACAGTCAAACAAACCTTTTCTATCTCATCGCAGACGGTTGGGTTCTCTCGGAGATACTGCAGTGCCTTTTCTCTACCTTGACCCAGTCTGCACACAAAAAAGAGGAGCACATGAAAGCAACAAATTTACAGTTTATCAAAACAAAAATGAAATATATCATTGTTATTTTAATTCGAATGAAGTTACAAAATAACATAACTACGATTATGTTCCTGATTGGAATGTGCAAATCCAACAACAGATTTCCGAAGCACTATATAGAAACAATCATTAAAAGATTAAAACACAAGGAAATTATGTGAGGCCACCTTGGAGTTTTCTGGTTAGTTTCCTGTACAGATATATGTAACAGATGTTCATATCCTCATAATCCTCAAATTTAAGCAAATGAACATGAAGTAGAATTCAGACAGTATAGGCTACATAAAGTTACTGGAGTTCCACAAAAAGAGGAACAGGAATTCAGTACATATGATGTGATATGATGGTTCTCCAGAATCAAAGGGCACATATAACCAGCCGAAACACATGAAGTTCACATGGTAATAGGACTGGGGAGAATGGCATGAAAGGATAGCTGCTAGAAGGTTGTGTTTTGCTAATACATTCACAAGCCGTAACGAAATTCTTCTAAAGCTACTGGCATACCTTATATCTTTGTAACTATACCATGAACCCTTCTTTGCAACAACTTCCATCAGCTCAGCACAATCAAGAATGCAACCCTGTATGAATTCTCTCTTTAGCGAAAGATCTAGTGAGATCCAATGGGAATAGCTGAAAACTTTGTACACCAACCAGTTTACTAACGCCCTCCCCAAACATGATCTCGAATTCAGCTTGCTTGTAGGGCCTGGATACCTTGCAAAGAACAAAAGAAAAGACACTCATGCCCAATGTACAAAGTGTGGAGCAAAATACAAAACAAGAACTAGACATCTTCACGACATACTTTACTCTTCTGCACTCTGACACGGACCTTGACACCAATATCTTCATCTCCCTTGGCCTTGGCAAAATAAGATGAATTTTCTCAAGTCATGTCTTACGGAAGGTGAAATATTTTGTTTATCTTACAGATTTTATCTTCCCAATGTGTCGTATCTCTAGGCGAACTGATGCGAAGAACTTCAAAGCTATCCCTCCACTAGTGACTTCAGGGTTCCCATAGAATACCCCAATCTAGAAAAAAACGAAATTTATCACATGACGGAATAAGATGGAAATGAACAGTGAGCTGAAAGCTAATGTAGAACACCTTGTATCTTATTTGATTCAAGAACATTAGAGTACAACCAGCCTTTGACGCATTGCCTGACATCTTTCTCAATGCTTGACTCATCAGACGAGCTTGTAAACCCATCTGCTGCATCCCTATCTCACCCTAGCAAATAACTGAATCATATTTTTCATGCATCATATTGAATACAAATCTATACTAAAAACAAAAAGGAAAGAAAATCATACTTCAATTTCCGCACGTGGAGTGAGAGCTGATACTGAATCAATACAGATGAGATCTATTGCTCCAGATCTGCACATGCGGTCCGCAACTGGTAGAGAAAGAGACATATTAGTCAAATCACGAAAACAGAAGTCTCGCAACCTCTAGGCTATGTTTGGCATCACAGGTGGATTCTGATAATCCTGTTTGCACACCATAACTAACTATACCTTCAACCTAGCAGGTGCTTGAAATAGTATACGTACCAAAATAAAAATAGATATGTATGAACACATTAAAGTTACAATCCAAGAATTTCTGGTCATCAAATCAAAATACGTCTATGAATAAGAGTTAACTTCAGAAGGGCCAAATCATTTTTTTGGCAAAAGATGCTAAAAATATATTAGATGCCACAAATGCCAGGAAAATTATAAAGTTGAAGTGTCATTAATTATTGTTACATGCCCATCAGATGGTAAAAGATAAAATGTCACGCAAAAGTTCCTCTACTTCAATAGAAACTCTGTGTGCGGAAAATACAAAATAGTCACTAGTATGCGAAATATCCAAATTAGTCGCTACTCACTATGTAACCCTGTTTACAGGACAATATTATAACAGATGCAAGTAAGATTATTCAAACAAAAGGTACTGAACCCTCATAAGTAAAGAATGTATTACTTTCTAGTGCCATCTCTCCATTGTCAGGCTGGCAGACAATCAGATTTTCAATATCTACACCAAGTGCTTTTGAATAAGCTGGATCAAAAGCATGCTCTGCATCAACAAGCATGGCATTTCCTCCTAGCTTCTGCATATAGGATGTCGGGAGTTTTAAATGTCGTTAAGTTCTACGGGAATCATGAAATATACAATGGCGTCATACTCTAATACAGGAAGAAAAAGACCTGTATTTCAGCAATGGCATGCAGAGCTAGAGTGGTCTTTCCACTGCTTTCAGGACCATACACCTTCAATTTATTGTAAAGTTGCAAAAATCAGAGCAAATGGTGATCCAAAGGTGCCACGATGAACAAGAATAAACTATAGTAAGTTACCTCTACCACTCTTCCTTTTGGAAGGCCACCGCCCAAAGCAAAATCTAGTGTTAAGCAACCACTCGGGAAAGTCTCACTGGATAACAAGGTAACAGCAAGTATGAATAGCATGCATGGAACTTATAAGGGGATTTTGATACATTTAAGCAATTAAGAACATACACAAAAGCACCACCAGCACTGCCTAATCTTGTAACACTTCCTTTTCCAAAAGAATTGTTTATGTCTGTCATTGCTGCATCAAGAGCTTTTTGCTGTACATGGAATTGTAAAGAGTATGTCATTTGTCTTGATAAGAAGCAATAATTAACTATTTATCTGCACCAACTTGGGAAAAAATAGCATAGCTATTTCACAAAGAATGCCACAGCCTTGTACGGACAAAACTGACATGCCTATATAAAGTCGAGACAGGATACCTCTCTTAGGAAACATCTATACTGAGAATAATACATCTGAAGTTCAGTATATAGAACTAAAGCATTGTTTACAGTTTTATCCCCAGTAAATTGCGCAGCAGAGGGTTGTCTTTTGAAGTTCACTGTCATTATTCTTGTCCAAGTCAAACTTAGCATAACCACAGCAGCCAATAAGAGAAACCAGTAAGAATGTAAGATGTCAAGCAAATGCTAAACTATAAGACAATAGTTTCCTGAAGTATCGGAAGTACACTCCGGTCACTGCAATGCCACCATGCACCCTAGGTATTCGACACAATGCACAGCCCAGGAAAAGCAATATAAGCAGCAGCAGCAGCAACCTATGTCGTAGAAAAGGCTACAATTGTTCTTGATTCAAAGTTCCACCTCACCGCGGCGCCACACTCCAGGCTCTCAGCGCCAGGGGAACGCGCCGCGCCTTACCCGGACCGTACATCACTTGTTCGGCCAAATGGCGGCCAGAAGAAACGAAAAATGGAAGGGAGATAACAAGAAACGAGGAACGGGGAAGCTTCTTACGCGGTCTATCAGTCGAGGGTCGTCCTCGCCGGAGAGCGCGCCGTTCCCGACGCTGGCAACGAACTCACAGCGCAGCCGGCGGCTGCCGCGTCCGGAGGCGCTGCTCGCTGAGGCGCACGGCGCGGGGACTCTCCTGCGGGGACGGGGCAGGATGGCCGGGGTGAAACGTGCGGCGGCGGCGGCGGCGGCTGTGGCCATTGGTTGCGTGGCGGCTGAGGTCCACGGGGCCGCGTGCTCGATTTGTCGGGGTGGAGTGAAGGGGGAGAAGTGCTTCAAGAAGTTCGGACAGGGAGGGTTTAGAGCGGCGGATCGATCGCATTTAGATTCGTGCAGCGACACGGTGAGTTTAGGCCTTTTGGTTCATGGTAGGGTATAGGAATGTCCTAAGAATAGGAAAGCTGTAGAAAATGAAACGGCATGTATGTTAAATTTTATGAACATAAAAAGGAGATGTCATTTGGTTCATATGATCGGACATTTTTCTCTGTTGAGTCCAAGATAATGTACTTTTTTTCTCCTTTGAAATATGAAGGATAGAAGTCAATCCTGTATGGAAATGTGATTCTATTCCTATAAATCAAAGGACTAAAGGAATATTTTCTACGGAAATCCTATAATACATAATTCTTATAAAATTCATGTAAACCAAAGGAGGCCTTAATTTTTTTTTTGAGAAAACATCTGATCTATTCATCTCCAATCATAGCAGTACAAATCAGAAATAATAAAAAATTACATTCAGATTCATAGTCCACCTAGCGACGACTACAAGCACTGAAGCGAGCCAAAGACGCGCCACCGTCATTGCCCCTTCCTCACCGGATTCGGCAAAACTTGTTTAGTAGACAGTCGACAATCGTCGCCGATGAAAAGTAGCGTAGATCAGAAGGATTCAACCTGAAGACACACGAATGTAGACGAACGACGAACATATCCGAGCAGATCCAGAAAAGGTAGATTAACCAGAGACACACCTTCACACGCCCACCGACGATGCTAGACATGCCATCGGAATGGGGGCTAGGAGGGGATCACCTTATTGCATCTTCAAGAAGCCGCCGCCATCTCGCCTTCTTTAGCAGGATATATACCCTAAGAAAACTCGAAGTAATATCTAAAAAAGTCGTGTGTTCTTTGTGCAAACATCTCGGTGGTGGATACACCATTGCGGAAAAAAGTCTAGTGCTCTATTCCCAAAGTGGTCAGTCGTCTTGGGCAGCGGTCCATGCCAAAGAGCTTATAGTGCTTTGGTCTCGTCGATCTTCACATGCTGAAGGGGAGGGGGGAGTAGGGCCCTTCACAGTTGAAAGATCGTGGATGTCGCATAGCGGGAGGTGAATAGGCGCTTTAAAATAGTTACGGTTTAGAATTGAACAAATGTGAAATAAAACTAGCGGTTAATTTGTGAAGCACAAAACCTAAAAAGACTAGGCTCACCTATGTGCACTAACAACTTATGCTAAGCAAGATAAACAACTAGGTGATAGCAAGATATATGACAAGAAACAATATGACTATCACAAAGTAAAGTTCATAAGTAAAGGGCTCGGGTAAGAGATAACCGAGGCACGCGGAGACGATAATGTATCCCAAAGTTCACACCCTTGCGGATGTTAATCTCCGTTTGAAGCGGTGTGGAGGCACAATGCTCCCCAAGAAGCCACTAGGGCCACCATAATCTCCTCACGCCCTCGCACAATGCAAGATGATGTGATTCCACTAAGGGACCCTTGAGGGCGGTCACCGAACCCGTACAAATGGCAACCCTTGGGGGCGGTCACTGATACGTCTCCAACGTATCTATAAGTTTTGATTGTTCCATGCTATTATATTATCAATCTTGAATGTTTTATATGCATTTATATGCTATTTTATATGATTTTTGGGACTAACATATTAATCTAGAGCCCAGTGCCAGTTTCTATTTTTTTCCTTGTTTTTGAGTTTTACAGAAAAGGAATACCAAACGGAGTCCAATTGACGTGCCAATTTTTAATGATTTTTTATGGACCAAAAGAAGCCCCCGAAGTAAAAGAGTTGGGCCAGAAGAGTCCCTACCCATCCACGAGGGTGGAGGGCACGCCCTACCCCCCTGGGCGCGCCCCCTGCCTCGTGG